AAAGCACCTCCCTCACTACTTTCGGTATGTCCTAAGCATATGTATCGTTTAACAGACATTAAGACAATTGAGCGTTTCTGTTTGAGTAAAACGATATCCATCTCTTTTATCTCGACTAAAATCAAAAAAAATCTACAAAAAATTAATTCAGATATAAAACAATTGTTTACTGACATTCGTTTCATGATCTGTCGCCCATTTGAATCAGTATAAAATACACCATGATTCTGTAATTCTCCAATATAATATGTTGTAATAAATTCAACACTAACCAGAAATTTGAATTTCTATACGAATTATTTTGATATTGAATTGATCACTTACTTTGAATTTAACAGTCCAACTATCCAATCGAATTCAATATAAGGCGTTTTTTCATATAATCGAATAGATTGATTTGCATATTGTGAATAAACTTGAACAATTTCTTCATAGCCTTTGTACTAAATGACACACGATTATGTTTAAAATATGTTGAAAAATAATTTTTATTAGTCTACTTTTAAACAGTAAAATTCATTGATATGAATAAGTCTGGGTTTAGTTCCATTCACTGGACGAAATACATATATACCCGATGACTGCATAGAAGTTTCGTCACCTAGTGAACCTTAAATGATTAAACAACATAATACATCATACTATAATTCTCTTTTAAAATAACTTACTAACATAATAACCAAATCGTTGTTTTAATTCGACATTTTTATTAATACTTTTAATATAAATTGATTTAATTGTGCCTAATTTATTTATATTGATTATGTAGGCCTAAATATAATGATATAAATAATTATTTTTATTATATAATTTAGTTATGTCATACTTCATTTTCGATTGAACATGCTTTCTTGTTTATAACAGATTTTTCCATTTGATTTATCAATGTATTATCTAATTATCAAGTACAATCTGAAATTAATAATATCAACAACTCATTACCATCTGTTTATTTTACTACCTGTTGCTTTAAATGGTACCACTTGAATACTGAGCGGTGGAATGGTAACTCTTACAATTACTTCATATTCTGCTGTTCTATTTTCATTCAGCGGTATAGACAAAAAAATTGATGACATTTTAATAATCTAATTTAGAAAAATCAAATTATTATTATTCGTATTTTTGAATGTAAATGTGATAAACATACTCCAATTTGATTGACATCAATTGAATATTTTCTTATTTTATTGATATCTAAAGTGTAAGATTGTTGAACAGGTATTCGTAACCAAATGTGGGATGTAAATGAAGATGGATTGTACACAATTACTGAAAACTAATAAAAGTAAAATTGATAAGATGTTGTTGCTTATACAAATTGTTAATAAAATTACTTTTTGTACGCCATCTAATTCGTTGCAATAACTTTCATTTAAATTACAAAAAATAAAGTTTTTAATATAAGTTTCATTTGCTTTGGTATCTCTGGATTTAGATTTATCAATTAATATTTGAGTGTATAATTGACTTAATACATACTGAAAGAAATAGATAATTTTTGTGTTACTAAAATAAACATTTCATTGTTAAAAATATACTCACATGACCAATTTGTTCAGCTTGACTCATCCGATACAGTATATCATCGATACTATTTTGCGGTGATGTACCACTAAATATAACGTAAGTTAAGAGAGTGCCCGTACACATGAAAAGATAGTACTAAGATTAAAGCTTCGAAACTATCGGTGTCTGGTTCTTAGCTTACAAGCTACAAGAGAATAAGTAATATTATGTTTAAATATGTTACAATAGATGATTCACAGTATTTTTTTGACTTTTTAAGGAATATGATAAAATTTCAGATTGAAACTAGGCACATTTCAAGAGTAGTATACCTTCTTGGTGAATTCATCTAAGAATCAAAGGAAGAGATAGTCTGACAATTATTTTTCGATTTCATACTAACGTAATTGTGTCATGGTGCTGTAATAATCCCATAATTTCAGCTAAAATAGTATAATTTTTAAGAACATAGAGATAGGTTAAAATGTACAGCACATTCTTACCAAGTTCGAATAAACCGTTAAAATCGATAACAGTTGCATAAACGCTCAATTGTCTTAATGTCTGTTAAACGATACATATGCTTAGGACATACCGAAAGTAGTGAGGGAGGTGCTTTATTTTCTTATGAAAAGCTTCAAAAAAATTTCTTTTTCTATGAACAGATAGAGCGTCTTTCGCTCTACTTTTCTATGCTATTTGATCACTATTCAACTAATATCATAATAATAAAATTGCGATAAGATCAGTTTCTTTCGCATATGTGCTGGTAGCATGAACATGAATGCTCGTGAGTATTTTTTGAATAACTTTTG